TGCGTAAGACAGGGAGCCTGTATACGTCTTGCGTACCCCGAGGCATCCAAAGTCGAGCCCTCGCTGCCTCCTCCTGTCATATATGCATCCACGTGGCCTGGTCGATGGCCGTGCCTCTGCGTGCCTCTCAGACTGAATTATTGGGTCGACTCGCGAATGACGTCCGTTTATTTTCATCAATTTTATTTGCCCGCAAAAACTACGAGCACCGCGGGTCCCAAGGAAATGACCGACACAGACTTCACCGACACAGATTCGAGCCGTTCGCTGCACAAAACGATTAACTCCACCTTTTGAAAAAATCGTAAATTTAAGTGTCAAAGCACTCGGTATAGTCGTCACTTTTTATGTTTATAATAACTTTCCTGAATAATAAAGGTTCACGCCATCGAAAGAGAAAATTTGTTTGGCCAACCATCTTAGGACATAGTTGCTATATTCTCGCGCCAATGAATCCTAACGTTTTCCGTTCCTTTCGATTCGATAAACCAAACAATCCGTCGCCTTACCGTGTCGTATATTTTCATAGGATCGAACGGTTCTGCAAGTCGGAAGGCAAAGTTTTGTGGTTACATAAACTCGAGGATAATTGCGATGACCGACCGACGATTTACACGCGATGCCAACTTTTCATTCGCGGATAATTGAAACTCGCCAACACCGGCAACAACTTTTACGCGCGAAATAAGAAAGTGGACAGCGTACGAATACGTACCGCGGCGCGGCTTAACGTCGAATTATCGTTCCAGCAATTATCGTTACCCGGGTGTAATTAAATTATTTCTCGGAGGCCTGCGCGTGGAATTTAACCCGTTTCACCGCTTTTAGAATTTTGCTCGATGGTACGATTGTACACACACAAACCACGGGTTTCAGCTACGTAATTACGGGCGCGATAATTCATCGTCGTGCGCGTGTGCGTGTACGTTTGTGCGCGCGCGTGCATGCGCCAACGGTCGAGTTTCGTTAATAACGGTTTGCACCTCTGTCGGGGGCTAATTAATGTTTCCCACTGTGGCACCGTTGATTGCCGTGTTCCTTGGAAAAAAATGACCTCATTATTTTAAACACCAGCTTTCGATAATATCTGGATCCACGTATACATTGTATAGATGCAAGTATAAGCTGATCCGAGATCGTGTAAATTATTTGTAGCGACCGAACGACCCATAACGAAGATTGGCAATTGCGCCAAGTGTGAAAAATGAACACAAGAAATATTCTTTGTCGCTCCGAGTCTTCGTCGCTTAGCGCTACCGTTTCTCCAGCGTTTTATTCGACTTTTCTCGTCATTTTTTCGAATTAAAATCTGGATTTGTCGGTGACGAAACTCAGGCGTTTGCTCGTTACGTTCCCCGTGGCTGGGCGCGCGATAAATTTTCAGAAGGAGAACTTCGGATGGCTGAGGGGCACATTTTGCGCTGCTTCGTCCTTTCGACTCCTCTCCAGCCTCCCTCAACCACTTTCCTTTCTACTTCTCTTCTCCGTCCAGTGCCTTCGCTCTTTCGTCTTCTCGCTTCGGCCTCCCTGCTCCTCCTCTACAAATTTACAATGCCCTCGCTTGTAATAAGCGGTTGCGCGCTTTGTTCACGATTATGAGCTCACTTCAGGTACCGAGGGGACTTATCGAGTTAAGGTTCCTCCGAAAACGGAACACCGAAATGTCCTCTCTTTGAAACGATACCGTCTCGTGGGAAAAAAAAGATTTTCGTTCGTTTGAACCATTTAAAATTTATTCCATTCGCAAGGATAGTAGCGAATGAGATTTATACGTTAGAAGGAAAACGATTACCCAAAGTTGAAAGGGCGTGACACTAATTGAAAATCGGAGAAAAATTGTTGGAATATAAATGAATTTGTGATATATACGTATAAGCACAAGTGGAAGATGCGTGTACGTATGTTAAGCGATGACACCGACACCACGAGCGGGGATGTGTGTATATGTAAGACGCCGGCGCTCGGCATGTGTTACATGGACAGTATTGTTTTGGTCAGTCGCGCTGAGGTAAACAATAGCGAGACACATGGCCGTATATGCGCATTTGTATCTCAACTATTTCATTAGTCTATGTAAATAAAGTATAGTTATAGAGTAAAACTGCTCCCGACTGATTAGTCTGTAAAGTTAAAGACATCACAGAATTCACAAGATAAAGATTTAATTCTACTTTAGAAGAGCCACGAAAAAATTTCCTTTATCTAGGAGCTTCCTGGAGAGATGACGTTAGAGGAATACTGAGCTAGAGTAGCTGAAATACAAATGTGTGTCTAGACTCGCTCAGTCAGTTTCCTAGTTTCATAACATTTCTCGATCTATGATCCATCGCAAGAACTAAGGTATTTTAATTACAGTGGAACGCTGCGGTTACAATCTACGACACGATCGCTATCGAATGCCTCCGCCTCTTTCGATAAAAACGATAATAAATGCGAAGAGAAAAGTGCAGAAATGATTTCATCGCGCCAATGGCCAGCATCTCGAGTTCGAGTACGCGGAGCTTCTGTATACCCCGAAGGAAGGATTAGGGATTCGAATCAGTGGAATGTACCACGAGGCAGTGGCACGCCATGCTTTGTAAGGGGGACACGTGCACCACATGTTTAAGCTTTAAGTGACAGGCAGAGTCCAAACATGTCGTGGACAAGTTAGAACTCACACAACTCGCCACGGTCACATTCTTCTTCCACCTTTCAGGATTCAAAATACGTACCTCGAAGTTGGAGCACCAAGGATTAATTAAAAGGGGGGCGGTCGCCATTGTGAGCCACTATAAATTTGGGGTCGCCATTTGGCGAAGTAAAAGCGAACAGTAGAAATAGAAATTGAGTAGATGCAAGGTTCCTTATAAGGACAGGGCAAATATATTTTTGATCGAAAAACGCGTATTATAATTTCTAATAAAATATTTCGAATATTTTGTACAACTATTCTTCTTTTGTTAATTGTTCGTAATAGCATCAACCACTCAAAATGGCTGGTTAGCGACTCGATAAAAGCTAATAATTATGTGTAACAACTTTCGGAAAACATTCATGTATTTCCAACAGCAATCACGTTTCTTTGCGGTGTTCCAGAGTACAAAACGGTTAAACAAAAAAAAAATTCCACGCATCGTATTACGCGAAATACATTTTTCTGCGCAGCGCAGTTGCAGAACGAACGGAATTGCGCGGGGAAGGAGGGAGGGTGTCACAGTGTCAGCGGCGGTGAAAAATTTGCCAATTAAAAAAAATCTCATTTCTCCCGGTAACGAGGGGCGGCGTGCAATTAACGTCAGAGGCGAAAATGATTTATGGGGTGAGGAGAGGAGGGTGTGGGTCGTAGGCGAGAGGCTAGCTTATCATAAATTAATGAATTATCAGTCCTCGCCGTGGGGAGCGCAAGGGAGGAAGTAGCGTGCCGCATCAATATGCTATTTAAAATATTCATCGGTACGTTCCCGTGTAACGAAAATTTTCCGTAACTCATATTTATTTCACGGAAACACTTTTACGCGCGTACGTAACTTCTTATAGGGTGAAACAGCGACGAAGAGACTCGCGAAGGTGTACGAATTGATTTACCACCATTAAGGGCAGATACTTGGTTGAAACGTTGAGAATTACGAGATATTACAGAATTTTTGTAAAGAAAACGAGCAAGAGGATGGAAATGGGAAACTTTCTGAATCGCCTATCACTTACAGTGGGTGTAGAATGTATTCGTACACCGATTAATTTCCCAAAAAATTTGGGGAGAATTGTAGTTTCTTAATTTCTTTTTTTATAATCAATTATATTTTATATATTCTCGGAAACCTCTAAGATAGATATAGTCCAAACAACATTTACTAGTTAATATAATTTTTTATAAAAAATTAAAAAAATAAATATAAGAAATTAACAAAAATAAATTTTATGCAAATTTATGCAAAATAAAATCTTGGCAAACGTGCCTACAAAAATTGAACCCAAATAGGAATTTATTTTATTCTCCAAATGTTGTAACATGAACTTTACTTTCAATCTTTTTTATATTCTTGTACATTGTTTGCATTTTGTAGGTTCTTGCATATTCAAATTTCCTATAAATGCATAAAGATCCGCAATCTACTTATGACGAACCATTTACAGTAGAGTTTGTAACGTAAACACATTAGTTTATTGCTCCGTACGAATTAGAAAACATCAAATTGCGAGGAAAGTACTTTTAAAAATAGCTCTAATAGAGGAATTGAAGAAGATCCCACTTCGAATAACTAATAATTTAGTTAATTTAACGTTTAGAAGAGTTGCAATAATTATAAAATCAAAAGGAAATCCCACGAAGGAATTATTAAATACTTGTAAATTAATGTAAATTTCCTTTCTTTTAATGAAGTTTTAAAAATTAAACAGTTGTGCGAATACTTATTGTTTCAATATTTCTATCCACTAATTGTTTTTTTTTTTTTTTTTTTTTTTGTCAATTTCGTAACTTACATAAATAGCTATTTTTTGTTGTACTCTATCTATTCTAGAGATTTACGAGAATATGTAGAATGTCATTGTTTATCAAAAATAAATTAATACGTTACAATTTTACATAGTTCTTTTTGGAAATTGATCGATATTGTACGAATACTTTCTACACCCACTGTATGTAAATCATATCTGGTTGTGAAATACTCAATTAATAGTAACGCTTTCGATCAAATAATATTTATATTCATCTCCAACGATAAAGACCAGTCTATAAAACAAAAATTAAATTATACATTAACGTACACGATATAATCGATATGTCCCCTAATAGTAAAAGAATTATAATCTTCGAATCGACATCATCTTTGAATGAATACCTCATAAAAGTGCAATTCTAGAAAGGACGTTACGTACTTGAAAAATAAATACGAAAAACAATTCATACCGTCCCCAAAGATCCCTGAAACGATGCAGTTTCTTCCTGCATGATCGACTGTTACTCGAACGAATCGTGGTTCGTCAATGGGCCGCCAGCCGTCGCCACTGTTGCCAACATGGCCACGTGCTAGACGTGTTTACGCGAACTGCGTCACCTTTCGTATTTTTCTTATTTATATTACGAAGTGTTTACCGTGAGATTACGGCGCCCAGTTTCATGAGAAACACGCGCGATAAGTGATAGTCGTTAAACGTGCTTCACGGCGGACATGGCGGGCCTGGATACGCCTATTCCAAGGTGCACCTGCGACGTAAGGAATGTGGTTACCTGTTCCGCTGTCAATCGGGATGCGCCCATGGGTAGAAGCGTGAGAAGTTACCGTCCCCATGGAAGCCTCGCCAGGGTCCTGTACGACAAGCAAAAGGCGGACGAGCAGCTCGAGACGTACGACAAAACTCAGGTAAGTAAAATCATAACTAGGTTACGTTCCAGTCGTACATCTTTGCACGTAAACCGCGCGTATCCGTTCCATGTATCGCCGCTTGAGGTCACGTCGGTGGCCTCAGGACCGTAAACATGGTAGGCAAAGGTTAGCAGAATTTTAAACGAATTGGAGCAAGATACAGTGTGACTCCCAGAAATATTCGGACACTAGTGTATGGTTAGCTTTATGACTTAATATCGTAGTTATTAAAAAAGCAATTGTCTTCGTTACTTTTTCCAATAATAAGTCATTTATTAATGTTATTAAAGAGGTATACATTAATCCAAAAATGGACAATTCAGTAATGTAACATGAAACATAAAATATTGTGCATGTATTACTTATTAATCAAGCGAAAGTAACTTTTGAGACAACCTAATATTAACGTATTCGTGATATTTATTCGGTTAATTCGGGTCTTAGTCGCCGTGTAATATTTTGCTTCGAGATTCGAAATCAAAGCTTTTCGGCGGGTAACGGATACGCAGATGTTTATTAATTGTAGAAACTAATTCCGTGCATTTATTAGTAGAAATGTTATTTGTTATTTGATATTTTTATTTAGTTGAGAATGTATCCTGTTTGTAAGTACTTCAAGAAATTACAGTTGTATTTTCTTTAAGTCTTTCTGTAAGTCCTATAATAGCAACTGATAAGAAACCACTTACGCGATAAAGCTGTTTTCGATGAATCGATTTGTTCTCTAGCAATAGTATCGCCAACCTCTTTTGGAAATTTAAAAGTACACAAAATTGGAGTGGAGAAATAATTGCACGAGCTTTAAGAATTACTGTTATTCTTGATTACTTTCCTTCGGAATTTCGACCCCCCCCGCCCTCACAAAAAAAAAAAGAAAATTAATATCTCTCCAGAAGAACCTCCTCGTAAATTTAAACAAACGAGACTCGAACATTTCTAGATAACCAACTGGCTTTTAATTGCAAGTACGCACTTTGCGCTGCCATATTGAAAATTGAATTTTCTAACAGTGAGTCACGCGATAAAATTCAACGATCGGTGGACGTGTTGTTTTCGTGTTTCGCACAGTGTCAATTTCGCGTGGTATTTAATTACGATGCTCGGCAAAAATTTCTTTCCGAGAAATAAGCCTTCGAAATCTGGTCTCCGCGAACTCCAAGTGCCAGCACGGGCCACCGGGGTAATTGGGTTGCTCGCTGAGGAGCCAGGGGGGAAGGGACGGTAATAATTAGTACAATTACCGCACAAGGCCAACCACCGACTAAAACCTCTTTCCTCGAACGATGCTACTCAAGAGTCAAGACCGTGGTCGGTAATTACGGGACAATTACGTCCTCGATATTCCTGAAACATCTTCGGAGCCGCTTCGAGTACTGTCCACGTCTTCAGTCCCCATACGTTAAACCGCGAGTTCGCCCCTATTTATAATTACATTCCGCCCTTTTGCTCTTTATTCGACTTTTACAAGTCACGGTCGAACGTCCAGAGACGACCGTGATCGTGTACCTAGCGATTAAGAAAGAACGCCCGCGAACTCGTACGAGGAGCACGTTCCACGATTTTATACGACTGTTTTTATTAACCCCTCGCCCTCCACGACATTTTCGACAAATATGCAAATATTTCATTTTCGAGTTTTACGTGTCCTCGAGTCTTAAGAAACGGAGGCTTTTAATATTACACATCTAAAAAGAAACCGAACTTTTGCTATAAAAAAGAAAAAGTACAAGTTTTTACACACACGTTTATTTACTCAAAGTAATCTCCCTCTGCGTCAATACAGCGTTTAGACCGCGTAATTAACATTTCGAAGGACCTTTGCAGCTCCTGTTTTGGTAGCCCGTTTAGTACGGCGGTTACAGCGGCTTGAATCTCCGAAATATTGCTATAATGTGTCCCTTTCATTGGAATTGGCATTGTTACCTTGGATCATTCACCCTACTCGCCTGATCTGTCTCCCTGCGATTATTTTCTTTTCCCAAAATTGAAAATTCCAATAGGAGCTACCTATAGGAGCTTGCGCACAAGTTTGAACATTTGTCTAGCGAAAACGACTATTGAGAGGTCTCAAATTTGAATTGTCGAGACAAAAATAGGACAATACGCAGCCCTTGTAGTTCCATGTACGTATACAGGGTGTCCCAAAAGTCGGGGAGGAGCCGGAAATGGGGAGTAGCTGAGACGATTCTGAACAACAATTTCCTTTGCAAAAATGTCGGATGGGGCTTCGTTAAGGAGATATTAAGAGAAAACCTCGACCAATCAGAGCGCGCGTAGACCGTTGGAGCGGCCGCGGTAGCGAAGGCTACGGCGCTAGGCGGCAGCGTCAATGTCCTTCGATGCACGTCGAGTCACTTGTTCGCGTACAAGCGCAGCCGCCAGCGCGTAGCCTTCGCTACCGCGGCCGCTCCAACGGTCTACGCGCGCTCTGATTGGTCGGGGTTTTCGCTTAATATCTCCTTAACGAAGCCCCATCCGACATTTTTGCAAAGGAAATTGTTGTTCAGAATCGTCTCAGCTACCCCCCATTTCCGGCTCCTCCCCGACTTTTGGGACACCCTGTATAGTGATGTGGAGCTGTGCGAGTGCGTGCGAGCTCATACAAGGCACGGGAGTCCACTCCCTTAATAGCAAAAGTTCGGTTTCTTTTTAGACAGACCGTGTACCTTCTGTTTTTTTTTTTTTTTTTGTATACAAGCGTTCTGTATACAAGCGTTCACTCGATACTCGATACTTCTACTCGTCCATTCGACAACAAAGTTAGCTTTCATCGGTCTTTCTCCTCCGATCGTAATTTCCCCATCGCTAAATGGTTAATGTCACGTTCCATGTATGGACCTCATGGAAATCGTTACCCCGCGCGATGGAGGGGGCCCAGCATCCACCCGTGGACAGGGCCGACTCAAGAAAGAAGCTTTTATCGGTGCTTGCAAGAACCTCTCGCCGCGACAGAGAGCAAATCGATTCGAAAGGCTGAGCCGCGGCACTCGAGCAGGTGCCCGCAGGAAAAAGAGAAGAATCCCATTCGGTCGCGTGAAACGAGAAATTTGAAATTCGTGCGGTAGGGACACCCCCTCGCGCGACCGAAATCGACGCTAGACGTCACTCCTGCGACCGCAACCCCCTTTTGCAAGCCAGTGGCGCGGTATGTTTCCGGAGCTGCCAGCGTCTAATATCCCTGAGCAGTCTGAAAACTTTACTCTCAGACGGAGTGGCGTGGATGCGTCGGCCTGGTGGTGTTTCAAGGTTTTTAAAAGGCTAGTGTACCGTCAATATCTCCGCGATGGAGCCGTGGCAACGAAGGGAGGAAGGTACGAGGAAGAGGGAGTCGCGAAAGGCGCTGCTTTAAAATATTAAGTGACTGATGGATGAGGCTCCTGAGGGGTGGAAAGAGACGGTGTTACGGCGACGAAGATATCCACCCACCGAGACGTTTGCATCTTCTTCTTACGTCCCCTAGCTTTTACGCCACCGCGTGTCCCGTTTCTTAGGAATCTTAACTCACCGACTGCGTTGTCGCCGGCATTGTCGTCGATCCTCTCGCGTCCAGAACTCTGGCGAGAGTCAGTCGCGAGCGGAGTTAGCTGTCTTACTGGCAAAGAGACATCTAGAACTTCTGTGCTTCTAATCTATAGATGCTTAGAGTTCTAAAACCTATTTTGACCGAGTATTACCGTCACCAAATTAAAACTTTTAGAGTAATCCTACGCAATGCTTCGATATCGCACTGTACAGTCAACGCGTATACTTTTAAAGGACGTTACAAGCTACTCGAAAACACGGCAAACGCATAATGGGCCACTATGTACGAGTAGAGTTTGCTAAATGGGTCCAGCGACGCGTATCTCGCCCAGGCTCGTAATAATAATAGCAATACTCGTGATAGTAATGTTTATTACCTTGAAGAAGGGGGGAACGACGTCCTGATTGCAGTTGACTTCAACGATTAATGATGATTCGCTCTCGCCGTATCAAATAGCATTTTTCTCTCTCGTTGACGAAGGGAACAAAGCAGAATCACGATTTTCAAGTGTAATAATACGCCTTGCTCTTCGTGTTTCTCCTATCACACTGTGTAAATGGTGGTCGAGTCGCGTTCGAAATTTAAGGACATTGGAAAATAGTGCACGAATATAAAAATAAAGATGAGTATAAGTAAATATTGACTTCCCTCAAACACGCATTCTTTGTTTAAAATATGAACTAACCACGCAAAGTTACAACTAGACACGAAGCTTCGAAGATCCGCAATCGTAAATATTTACAAAACGTCGTGTTACATAATACGAAAAAAAAAAGTGAATAATACAAATATATTGTCGGTTGGCGATTTATAAACTTTGAAACCTGCCTCGAGATAAATCTCGCGCACCGTAAACATACACTGCGAGTACCCAGTGGCGAACAACGTCTCGTGACACGCATGGTTGCGACTAAATGACAATGTAAATAATATCGAGCCACGGACTGCCCATTATGCGAATATAAAACGATCCAACGGATAGACCGTTATCGCACGCGCGATGGAAAGAAAAGGTGGATGATACGGCTCGCGTTCGTTTATGGCCCAGGAACGAAATCTAGAATCTTTCACGGCGCTTCCCCTCGGCCTGGAATCACGGAGGAAGATCTTGTCGGATCCACGATAAATCCAGATGGCCCGCGGATCTACGTTTTATCAATTCGTACGATCGCGCGTGGCGTATGCGCGCGGACAATGCGCAGTGGCGCGGCTCGCCGTAACGAAAAAACTGATTTCTGGATTCTCTGCATCCGCTCGATCCCGCGTGCACTCGTATTTATGTCTTTATCCGTACGCAGAATACCGGTTCCGGAGGACACGATCGCGGACGGATTCTTCTGGCCGCGCACGATACGCTTTGTCGCCGGCGTTCTTTACGTATGCGACGCGAGTGTCGATGCGAGCAGGCCAGACGGATGATTCCGAAGCCCGCGCTGGCCAAAAAAGCTTCAAAGACGGAGTCGGTGAAACGAAA